GCCCTCATTATATCATTTCTGTAATGCAAATGGTTATGTATAGAGGGAGATTTAATTAATCCCCTGCTGGTTGGTAGTATACCCTAAAGCAAACATAGTCAGCAAAGGAAAAAAAATTAAAACAAGAGTGCATGGTACCAGGTCACTGACTGTCAGTGGAATTTCATCATCTGTGAAATATTAACTTATTAACTGAAATGTATTTACTCTTATAGCTGTAAAAATATTTGTCTATTGTCCCAACTGGTATGATAGTGAGTACCTTGCAAGGGAGCCAAGGTCAAAAGCAATCTCAGGAATCATGCTGTCTGCTCTGGCAAAAATATGGAACATCCTGTGTGGCAATGGTTCTCATTTTAATTTGCAAGGACTTCATTTAAGCTGCCATCAGTGCAGGCTCCAGCATCCAACTTTGCCTGTGGGTCTGTGCCATATGTGCAGATACATATTCAAGGACAAATTACAAGACTGAGAGAAAGTGACAAATTTGAGTGATGGGTTCCTGTTTTTTCACACTTTAGTGGCATAACGGATCTGCTGGAACGATGTGGGTTGTATTGTAGGTCAGTGAACAAATAGATTTCCAGACTTTATTTCCTCTCCATATTGTGTGCACACACCTATGCAAAAAGCCAGCACTGTTCCTGCTGCCTGAAACATTCCTGTTTTCAGATGCAGTTTCTGTATATAAAAAACCACAACTGAATAAAATGTTCAGTATCTATGTATGTATAGACAATGTATTTTGCAAACAGAAAAATTCTCTTTAAAGTGACTGGTATTTCTTCTCTTTTAGCCTTCTTGCTGCCTGTAAAATGAGGATTGAGTCTTATTGTGGAAGCTCTTCTGTGGCATGATATGGTGTCCAACTGATTTTACAGCCTCATGATTGAGGTGATGAACTTAAGATAAAAGGAAATATAAGGAACTCTTTTGAAGGCAGATATTTGAATCAGCTTTTTATAAATTCTGCGATGCTGAATTTCTTTCCCAAAGTTCCTTTTTAACTGCTTGTCTGAAAATCTGCTGCTTCTTTTGTCTTGTGGAGATCAAGTTGCATGTTTAATAATTATGCCTTGAAATGTGGAACTGATACAAAAAAATAACTTTCAGAACAGTCTGTTCTTGTCATTTGGGTACTGCAAGATTTAATACACTCCTTATTTTTTAGGATCTGTGAAAGTTGTTCTTTATTTCCACTTCTGAAAGTTCTTTGTGAATAATGTGGACCAATATTTTATAATGTTCTTATGCTATTTAGCACTTCATATAAATCAAATATAAATGTAAGCCCCTGTTTTGAGGGTTATATTGTTGACCTAGAGAGCAGGTGGCATGAAGGCTGGCTGGAGTAATAATGGCAATATAAATATAGCTACTGGCAGCACAAGTGCTCAGGGAGGCAGATGTGCTGTCAGAAGGGGCAGTTTGGAATCTTGCAGGTTCCTGTGTTGTTCTCATCAGAAGGGTGGTCTTTAATGAAAAATGTCCTTCAGGATAAACTAGCATATTGAAAGGATTACAGCTGCACCCTTTAAACAGTGTTTCAGACCAAGTAGTCACAGCTCAGCACTCCTTTATTAGTTATCTCACCTCTTAAAATGTGATTTATTTTTTCAGGATACATGGGTATGTAATGCCAAACTCCTTTGTGGTGTGAGTGGAAACCAGTTAAGTCATACCACCTACCTCATAATTTACTAACGAAAACATTTAATCTCTACTATAAATGATACTATATATGATTCTGAGTAGACTTTAACCTTTATAGGGTGCTTGTGGAATGCTGTTGGACTTTTTCCCTTACATTTTTCATAATTATTGAATCACTGTTTTTGTAGTGCTACTCCATACATTTGAAATCACCCTGCCATTGTAAGATACAAACTCTCCATTGGTCCCACTGCACACATTGAAGTGTTGAGCTGTCTTCTCGACCCTGTGAGTGTATCCCCATCTCTGGGAGGCATTTTCATTGTCCCCTTGATCCCCTGGAGATCTGCAGTGTTCTCCTGGCAGTGGGCATCCTCAAACAGGAAACAGTTTAGCAGTGGTCTGCAGTCTGCTCCCTCCTTTCCATCTCCAGGCATTTTCTCTCTGGGATGTAACTTCACACACAAACTCCCTGGTGATTTGGGAAAAGCAAATCTCATTACACTGCTCGTGGCTGTGCAATGTCCAGCTCTGGTGCTTTTGCCTTGGCCCCACTACTCACGATTTTGGGGGGTTGTAGGGGCTGATACCAGCTCTGGAGAGACAGAGAAGGGCAGAGAGCTGGGAGAGTGCGTTGTCGTTTCTCCAGAGGACAGGGAAAGTGCTGCAGAGGCCAGAACGTGGTGGGCTGTGTGGCTGTTAGGGGTTGTGAAGGGGATTTTAAGACTAACATGAACTGAGGCATTGTGGAACAACAGGTATAAAAATTGATTGTTTTGATTGTGCTCTTTGTTGTCAAGACCACGGTGGTATTAAATGTGAACTGCTGCCTATTGATTCCACAGCTGCACCGTGTTTGTCAAGGTAGCGGTGCAGAATGAAGACAATTCCTGCATGGATAGGATAATATTTCAATTGCATTGAGATGTCATCTGCTAGGATTTTGTTCCTTCCTTGTTTGGAAACTCAGTTTCCAAGGGATGTTTTCAGGAACAAAACCCCAGGCAGCCCTCCTCCTAACCTTGCATGGATTTTATCCTGAATTACCTACATTATAGGAAGTATTAAAGGTCATCTTGTTTGAGTAAAGCAAGAGTTCTGTAAGGGAAAGGATTTGTCCATTCCTGATCCTGGACCATGTTTCTTGTGATGTATGTCTGGTAATTACAAGTCACAATTACCTGAGCTGTGCTGCTGCAAGAGAGTGTTCTCTCTTTAAATGACTTTTCAGCTCTAATGACTAGAGCAAAGCTTGTAGAAGTGAACCCTAGAAGTTCAAAAACTAGAAGGTAGTTAGATTTAAAGGTCACTGTTTTGCTTGTTCATCCAGTACTATGAAATTCTAGAGCTTTATACATACATTCTAAAAATTTCTGGGGCTTACTGTATTGGAATCAACAGAAATACGTCATTTGAATAGAAAAAGTGCCTTCTGCCAAGAGGTGCCACCTTCTTAAAAAAGCATAAATGAAATACAGCTGCTCATATGATGAAAGAGATGTATATGCATGTCTAAGTAACACACTATCCACAGAAGCAGAATAACATATAATATCTATATCTTACCTGTTTTTTTACTCATTTGCAGTAGCAAAAAGCTGTCCTTGCTACATAGTTTCACAGTTGGGAACTAATTCTTTCTAACAAATGAGAGTGGAAGAAATACCTTTTTTAGAATATAAACCACACAACCTGTTATAGATGCTAATGATTTATTATCTTACGCACTTGAAGTGTTTTGATTAGATCTTGACAAGTTTGTCTGACGACAGGAATTTATTTCTCCATGCTGTAAGCTGTCAGCCTTGAGATAATTCACACATGGAATTTGCTTGGCACTGTTAAACTGTAATGAAATTTCAAATTATGGAGAACTAATACTTGAAAAGAATAATGGCACGTAAGAGTTAGTTGTTTATTTATCTGTTATTCTTTATCTGTTATAAAGTGGCTGTAACTTTTTGGTATCTTTGAAAAACTTCAAGCCGAATCCAATGTGTCACTGATCAGACCAGTGACTGCCTGTCAATAGCACAGTTAGTCCTGTCAGTCAGCACAAACACTGTGGCTAAAGATGGAAAAGAGATTACCTTACCAATGTTATGGATTTGATTTTTTTCCCCCCTATTGATCTTTTTTTCAATATTCAGTGAAAGCACGGATTTTTTTTTTTTTTTTTTTTTTTTTTCCTTAGAGAGGGGTGACAAACCCATCCCGTAGATCAGTACTTCCAGTTGGTATTGGCTGTGCTGGTGCTTGCTGGGCTCAGCCGGAGCGAAGCAGCCGGGGATGAGCACGGCCCGTGCCGGTGTTTTAAGGAGAAAACCCCCAGAATCAGGGGCCGGGGCTGCGGCCGCGGCTGCCACCTGGCGGTGTCCGGCGGGAGCGCAGCCGGGCGGGGCCGGGGATTGCGGAGCCGGGGCTGGGCAGTGCCGGGGATGGACAGTGCCGGGGCTGGGCAGTGCCGGGGGGACAGTGCCGGGGATGGGCAGTGCCGGGGATGGGCAGTGCCGGGGATGG